ATATTTCAAATTTTGTAAAAAAATCCTAGTTTTCACAGTTGCAAAAAAAGTACACTTATATGTGATATTAACGTTATTCGAAGATGACGTAAAAGATATAAAGGATATTCAAAATAAACAAATATATTTGGATCACGTTAAATTGAAAAATCTGGATTTTCCTAAAAAAATTTTAAGAAGAATTTACAAAAACCTACATCTGTTATATACCTATTTTTAGTACTTTACGATTTATTTTAACTGTTGGCAAAATTGTCACTAAGGAATACATCTGAAAAAATGAAAAAAAAAACAGTATAAAGAGACAACAATACGCGCATAATGCGACCATGCACAATAGATGCTAGTTCAAAATAATCATATGGATGGTCGATCGGTCGACCAGTTGTTTCGAGTTTGCATGTTAGCAGTTACGGTCCCATGAATCACTGGAATCGACAAATTTATTCTGTAATCAAAGAACCATTCCAAAAGTAAAAAATGGCGGTAACAAGCACTTAATAAGCAAGTTTTAAATAGGCTAGTAGTTTTCTACTACTTAAACTGAGTTTAAATTTGTTGATAAGTAGATATTCCGCAGAGAACAAGGCATGCAGCATGGGGTCTTAATTATTTGCCTTCACTCATTTTCTTTTCTGTATATACTTGCTGATAGATCCTAGTTCCGCTCTCTGTTGTCTTTATGTCAAAAGGTAAAACATATACCCCTTTTTCACATTTAGAACGGAAGATTTTCAACTTATTGTAACCATTCTTTTTCTTCTGGTCTATTATTTGAAATATTATCTAGTGATTACTTTTTTTACTATTTTTAATGCTTTTTAATTAAAAGTTTTTTTCTTCAGTCATCTTTTATATTCTTTTTTCTTCTCTCGTTCTCTGGGTCTTCTATCCCAAGAATGTGGTAGGGTTGACCCACTAAATATTGGAAAAGTTGAGTGGAATTATAAACCTTTTGCTAGAATTTACATAGTCTCAAGAAACTATTAAATAAACAAAACAATTAAGACCACAAGTTTCAATTTCACCAAAAACATTCCATTGCTCCTCAATCCGTGACTAAAGTACTGGAAATGTGCGAAGTGATTGTCGACCATGACTAAAGAAGCTAATGTTTTAAAATGACAATTTCCATACGCTTGATCCTTGCATAAATAGCGATTTTATAATAGGGAGTTATAAACAAGTGTATTAAACGGTATTTGTGTCACGAATTTATTTGGCACGAGCGGAGCGCAGCGGAGCATCACGGTATCACTGTCAGAATTTACAAAATGTCAAAACTCAAGCTTTCGGAAATATCTCCGAAGATATCCGATTGCTACCAACCCGTGCGGTATCATCCCTGATGTGGTGCATAATAAGGTATCTTAGAGAAGAGACTAGAATTTTTTTTTTAATATTAGTTACTCAGAATTGCACAAAAATGGAAGAATGCAATAGATGGTTAAAGTATCACTGATGAGGATTTTTTCCAATGTAAATGGCCATCTCACCCACTTGGCCATGTCACCCGAAACTCCCCTATATGTCGGAACTAATAAGGATTTGTCATGGTTCCAGAATGGATTTGGAATGAAATTACTGACATATACACAAATATTGAGAGATTTTGATATTGACACTTTCAAATACACGTGAACTATCTTTGATTTATACTTTTCAGTACAAGTGAGGCATAGTAACAGCGAAAATTGCAAAGTATCAATACTTTTTGAGTAGATGTATTACGATTTGAAAAAAAGGACTTAAACCTTTAAACAATATATAGATTTAATTGTAAAATAATTGTTATTGTTTCTTTATCGTAATACAAATTAGTAAATGTTAATTTTCTATTTCCTTAGGAACTGCAACTGCGTCCGGTAATATTTCATTTTCCGCACTTGTTAGGGAATATAGGGATATCTAATCCGCACCGCTAGAAATAATACATTTAATAACGCTAGAAGAATCAGCGCGTTACCATACCGTATTTCTTTTACGAACTTGCAAAATACGAAGTTCCAACGCACAGTGTTTTAAGCGTGCTTCCCTCGAATCGTTCCAACTAAATTACGCCTCCCCGGCAAAAATCCACCGATTGTTTACAAAAATTAATCAGTCATTCGCCACGTACACAAACCGCAATTCATCTTGGAGATGACAGTGGATGAGATGGAGAGTGGTGAGGCCTCGGCGCGGCTGGATAATCCATGACATTTGCGTATGAATACACGCTCTCCGTTATTGTCCCGGGCCTCCGCTTTGACACCGTCATTTTCCGGCTGACTGATCTGCGATCTTATCGCATTTGCGTTTTGGAGGTGACAACGCGACGCACGGCTCGCTAAATTCATCCCTCACGACTAACGACTAAATCGCACACGTCCTGACGTGTCGATTATCTCAGCGCGTGAAAGTTGTGCCTAAAGATGTTTAGATGGTATTTTGATCTAGGTATCGAGAATATTTCGTCACGTAGAGAGGACGCAACATTTTATATTGTCCCTAGAGTCGGGGATAGTTTAGCAATCTGTTCTATTTTGCAACATCAGTCTAAATAAATAATAAAAAAAGGGAAAATTTAAAAAAATTTCTAGGTCAAGTGTCCTCTAGTCACAGACACTTTTATTTTGTAACGAAGATTTATACTAAATCATGGCTATGTGTCAAATACCAGCTAATTACGTTGATAATTAAGCACCCTGCGTTAAAAATAAAATTTAAAAAAATGGATTTTGACAAGCTATAACTCCGAAAATATTACAATTTAGAATTTTTGTTACATGACCTACTACCATTATTTTACCACGTCAAATCTTTCGTCCAGGTTTCTGAACTCAATTTCCGAACACCCTGTTATACAGAGTGTGAATGTAAGACAACGAAAAATTTCCATATTTTGGCGAAGGGTTTACCCAGTCTTGTAAAGTAGTTTATGATATTGGCTAAATTACTAGGAAATATCGGCCATTATTTGAAATTCCATTTTTATTTTCAAATTTGATTTAAACCACAGATAATGTCTTAAATGTATCAAGGAAGCTGGTGCACTTGGAGGTACATTAAATTTGAAGAAGAAACGATTTTATTCGATATTTTTAACACTTTTAACAGCAATAACAACAATAAAGTTTAGGATGTTGATGTAACTTCCTCTTGTACGCTGCTAGGTATTCCTTGCTGTAATATAAATGGCATCCGCTTATTACCTAGTCGTAATTTTAGTATAAATACAGAATTTTACAAAATGGTCATATTTCAATATCACCACAGTATAGCAAAACTATGACAAATAGGTACGACGTGGTGGTTCCTTATCTTTTGCAAATTCTTCGCAATTAAAATATCGGACAGCACTGAGGTATACACCAAGTGGAACGCCTTGAATCACTGGCTAAAAATTCAACACGGCAAAGAAATGTCGAAGTTCATCATTTCGTAATACTAAAAGATTTTGGTCTTACGCATCTGTCAGAAAACAATCTATTAGTGAATTACCTAAAAGAATGTTCCTTGATGGAACAGTCGCTGAAAACGGAACGGATGCAAGTCATTTATTGAGTTTATATTTTGCAAGCGTTTTCGAGTCAGAAAGGTATCTTTTTTCTCACTCTATGAAATGCTAAATGTTGACATTAAAAAGCCGGGCCTGATAGCCTGGCTCCAATTTTAGCAAACAAAAACAGCCAATTTTCGCAAAAAATGGAAGCTCCCCATGCTTGTGCCCATATTTAAGGATTTAAACAAACTAAGCGATATTATTTTCCTTGCTCGACCTACTTCTGGATTCCCACAAGGTTCACTTTTGGGACTCTTATTTTTTTATCATATACATAAATATCATCCGCTCATGTTTCCACAATTGCAAATTTTTGCTTTACGCAGACGACTTAAAATGTTTAAAAGTGTTCAATATATATCTGTGTTTAAAAAGATTCAAAGTGACCTAGACAGGTTGGTGAAATTTTCTGACGAAAACAGTTTGTTTTTAAATTTGGGTAAATGTTCGCAAGCAATAAAATTAATTTCCCTTCTCAATGTAATATTCAAAATGTCTCTTGATTATATTCGAGATTTTGGCGTCCTGATAGATTCAAAACGTATGTTCGACGAAATATGATTGCAAACAGTGCCTCTAAAATGTTAGTTAATGTGTTACGTAGATGGTTAATCTTTTCAAATATCAAATCAATTATTTGTTTATTCAAATAAGTTTATAAAATTCAATTAATGTGATCTTAATGTCAACTGTACAAGTTAAACAAACTCTAAAAAGTCAACAATTTGTATAATGTTATAACGATGATAATATATAAATAGCTATATATCATATTATGATTATTTATTATAATAAGAATTTGCTACAAGCGATATTTCTAGCTTAATATTTTAACTAGTTATGGTAAGCATTATTTTTTATAATATTGAACATGTAATCTTGTGAATTTATCAATGGATGCAAACCTGGAGTATCCCCGTTGATAACCCAATTAATAAATAAATTTCATCGACCGTTGAGATTATTAAAAGATTTTTAAAGATTCGAAGAAATTGTCCAAATGAATACTCCGAAGACCCTACTCGGAAAATATCCGAGAACACGTCTGACCATCAGATGATAAATCAGAAATTCTGTACGAACAGCGTACTTTTGATAGGAATGTCAGTTTACCTTATAGATATCGATTATTCGATTATTTGTCTGTCTCCAAATTGAATATTCAGCAAAACTGAAACCCTCAACGCTTCTGTTCTATTTCAAACGATTGAATAAGAGTCTAGAACGTATTTAAAAAAAAACTGTACTTAGTTGCTGGTTCTGAATGTTCAAGATCAGGTTATGTTTCTGAAGTAATGAATTTCAGACTTTGAATTCTCCGATTAGAACCAAAATCAAGGAGGAAGCTAAAAAGCTTCAAAGCTCAAACGAAGTAAAACTTACATAATAATATTAAAATCTTGTACCTACTGTAAAATATTACGTATTGCCAGCTTAATCTGAAAGCGAACGGAAAGTAACGCTTTATCTGCAGTTTGCTTTGCAAGCAATGTTAAAATGTTCTCATAGAAAATTCTAAGCTTTTGTTTTTTTTTTAACAATTTAACAAATACAATAATGTATAAGGTTTTTAATTTCAAATAACGGAGTAGACGTCTGTTACGTTAATTGTCTGCTTAGAATAAACTATGTAGCATTTTAATTTCGGTAACTTTTGAACTTTTTGGAATTTTCATCATTCATTAATTTTTATTTTATTTCTTATGAAGTTTTAAGCAAAACGCACTAATGCGTTGTATGTGTGTGTGTGTTTATGATGTTATTCAGAAACTTTTTGCAAAATGTTTCTTGAGATACACGTTAGAGTTATGTTAAGCGCGGAAGGCGTATTTTTATTAACGGAAAAGACGCTTTTTTATTCCGAAACTCGCTTCACATATGTGAAGACCCCTCGCTGTTCGAGAATCCTAGAGCGCCTAAGACGTGGAAAATCCTGGATAACATTCGGATTCCCTTTATATATCCAATAAAGCCTGCAAATATTTCTTTTTCATACCGTTCCGGTATATTTTAATATTTTATTGCATAGTGAAAAACTAATACCGCTCCAAAATCGCAACGAGAAGATATTGAAATCTAGATTATTAAATTTTGTAGTAGGTATGTATTCGACCCGTTGGTATTGCATAAATTTAAGCTTACATTTATTTTATATTGAAAAGAAAAGCCATTTGTGGCAATAAAAGACATCGGCAGTGAGATGTTAGTAAATTAACTCCCCAATACAACGCAACTACATTTTTAGACATAACTTTATGTCAATTCATGCATTACATACTAACGCATTTGAAGCTAGCAACATCTCGCCGTCTCGTTGGCAATTCTCTTAATTAATTACATTTAGAGCATAACGCGTTGAACAAATTGACTTCTTTGGGCTATTGTATCGATGACAAGGTCCCGACAATACCCCAAGCGCACCCTCGGGTTATATTTAGCGGTCCCTTCAGGCCAAGGGGTGACAACTAACCCCAACTAAAGGCGACCATCCATCATACCATTACCACACCCCTCACAACTGCCATCTAATGTCCGCCGGCGGTAGCAGTTTAAAATAATATATGGCTAATGGTCGGCCATATGACGTTTTTTCTTCACTCCTATTAGCGCTAATTATGCCATTCCTGACACTTTAATGTCTATGATTTGATATGGTGTTACTTTCGTAATTACTTGCGTTTTTAACAGCTTCCGTCTCTCACTTTTCTACCTATAACAAAGGAAATCAATTTTTTCTTATTCTATTAAAGCTGTTTTATTACGCAATCATAGCTTTGTTTAACCATTTCATGAGAACGGCTTTAGAACAGCAATTCCCAATCGACAAATGTATTTCTCAATTTTTACAAGTCTTTGATGTGTCAAAAAATGTTTGGGTAACTGAAAATGACGGGTTCTATTGCGCTGGAGCAAGCTTAATCTCATAAAAATTATTCCTTAGGTAGTAAAACAATTAATAATTTAAGCCTATTTTAACAGACTTTGAAATTCAACACAGCAAATAGTACATCAATGCGGGAGTTACTTCATTATAAAGGTACATTTAAAAATATGGTTAAATGCTGCTTTTTTAGTTCTTATTAACAACTTCAAAACTATTGTGGTTGAGGTTTAATTTCTACGTCGTGCACTCAATTTATTTCTTATTTTAAAATTGTCTTTAAGTGTGTCGTATTTTGATTTTTATGAAACCTTTAGCCTGGCTAACATATGTATATAAAATGGTTTTACTATTTCGTGGAACTGCTAATAATAAAAATATTTGATTTTGATTTGATTGAGAAGCAGTAAAGCTCCACGTTCAAATAATTTTTGTTTAATTGCTCAACCAAAATACACTCTGGGTAACAAACATTTGAAATAGAGATTCAGTACTTTGATTTGAAGCCTTTCTATATATTTATTTTATTTATATTATTGATATTTTACCTTGTTAAGGAGAATTATTTACAAATTTTTGGGGTTGCGCTTAATACCATTTCGAAAATATAAAAAAAACTTCACATATGCCTGAATTAGAAAAAAATATTTTCCAAATCGATTTTTTTAAGATAGAAATTTCGTAGGAGAAACCGTTCTAGCTCCAGGTAAAACAGTTATCGACTATCCATCTACTATCGACCACTGCATATTAGTCAATTATACAACATAATTTCCATCTTACCGGTGTTTTCAATTAACAAAAACTAGCCCTAAAAGACCGATTTCCAAAAATGAACTTTGAAAACAATATTTTTAAACTTTTTTTGGATGTTGCTATTTATAAGGATTGTAAATTAATTGGTATGAAAAAAATGTCTAATAAATTTTTGTCTTTTTGATATGGAAAAAATTCCAGAAGGGTGATTCAATTTCAAATTGGTTATAAAGTGTGTGCATCCCAGATACCGCTGGACTTCAGAATTATTCTGTTTTTTAGCGAGTAGCACCTTTTACGAAAAACCTGCTTCTTTTAAGCACCAACGTTAAAACTTATTGTTATTGTTATAGATCGGCTCATATTGGACTCTAGAGGTAGAAAATGTTTAATTGAAGGTTCGGTATTTCATTAAATTCAGGACAAATACCCGATCAGGATCCCAGTATGTCTATCGCCAGTTGTAAAATGCGAATAAATGTGAGAAAAGAATTTCGTTGTCGACGATGGTAAGCGGAGTGCTTCCGACATGGATTAACTAGGGAATTTTAATACCAAAATAATGATTAATCTAGGTCTATAATCGGTTTAATCTACTTATCCCTAATTCGTCGTAGATTCCTGTATCATCTACCTATCTCTAACCAGTAACCACCATACAGCACTTGTATTTGGCCCAAACTCTTACTTATCTCTTACTGGATTTATGCTTTGGAGAAGTGTCACTGCATCATATTAACAATATAATAAATTCAATTTAATTCTCACTTCTTTTGGCGTAGTAATGTTTTGGCTTCTATTTTTTGTTTGAAAAGTAATTGAGTTAGAAGAATATTTGAGTTTTTATTAAAGAAAAGAACCTTCCGATTGAAAAAAATATTTTGAATTTGTAAAACATGGACCTATATCATAAAGCATTATTATAATTATATTAAACCAGTCGTAATATATTACGAAGTATATTGCGTACACATCTTCTAAAAGCTTAAAAATATAAAGTATTTCATGAAAAGTGTTCCTTTTTGGAAAGGGCAAGAGCTCGCTTCCTGCGTTTCCCCAAACACTCGATAACTAAAGCAAGAAGCAAACTGCTTTACCTTGATGTGCTGAATTCATACATGTGAATGCGCGGCTTATCTTCCGTGGCTTTTCCGAAGCCTATCCGCATTTTCGTGGCATATTTTCGCTGCCGGGAACGCCCTCCTTGTAGAAAAAGACCCGCATACAGGGTATTTTCTATTAATTTGCGGCGAACATTTTTTCTTCACTTTATAAAGGTAAACGCAATTACAATTTATTCAAAATGGATTACTCAGTAATCTCTCCAAGGAAATACCTGGGAGAAAATGTGGTTGGAATTCATAAAAATTGATTCGTCATCATCATCATCAGATGATCAGACGTTAGTTTCGTTTAGCAATGATCAATATATATCATATATATTAGCTCAGGAATGTATGCGTTCTGCTGACGGAAATGGTTAGGTTATTACACCCTGTTTATGAGGTGGCCATTTTAATTTTTAGTACATTCTGAATAAATCTGCTGTACTGAGTTCACTGAGTCGGGCTGATTAATACCTATAATTTTTTTAGAAATATGTCTTGTTGTGAGGTTTATGCGTTAGTTAATCGAAAACTTAATAGTCAATGGAATAAGTATGAAAATATACCTTTTCCGTTTAACTTACTGATTTCCCTGAAAAATTAAATACCAGTGGTTTGTCATTAGTCGTGACCAAAAGGAGCACCTGCTTATCAACATTAAAGTCTGATATCAGAAATACATAATATATGCTTTGAAATGTCAACACCTTAATTATTGTTGCACTAACATGGCAAAAGTGAACACCCCAATATCAAATGTTAGTTGCTTTTTTTCACTTTTACAAATTAAAAATCTCTCACAAATTCGTGAAAATTTTGGTAAATTTTTTTGAAAAAAAAAAACTTGGGCGTAAGAGGAAATGCAGCTTCCTTACCTCGTTCTGAAAAACGTCGGCACCGAACATTTCACTTCAATTAATTTAGAGTGTACACGTCTTAAGCGGGACCGTTTAAAAACTCATCACCGTCTGGCGGTATTAAGAATGTAAATTTAAAAAATCGTCTACGTAGAGCCCGCCACCTGGTTCCAGTGCCGCCGCCCCGTGCCGTTTCGTCCGAAAAGGCGTTTTTCTTCATTAGACCCCTAATTTTTCCTCGCTGCATACATAATCAATTGGCTCTTTTTCTTCGGTCGTAATTTTCATATTTAATTTATTTCTAATTTCCATGTTGAATTATGCATTCTTCCAGCCCAGCCAGGGCTGGTGTATTTCTTTGGCCCGGTCGTTGCATATTCAGCAATGTACTTCTCCTACGGGCCGAAGATGAGGGGGCGATGTTGTCAGCTCACCGATTTTTACCTAGAAGCTAGGATACATGATCAAAAATAAACAAATCGTATTTATCAATATACTCATCATAAATCAAAATTAATAGAACTACCTTTCAAGCATTCAAAGGAGTCTCCTTAGAATTCACGTTGGCTGTGCTTTTGGATCAAAACTGCATTTCACTCATCCAGTCAAGCATCCTTTACAGGATGTAGATAAACAATCTCGGGCAAAGGATCGAGGATTGAAAAAGGTATGCAATGACATAGTTGTTAGTGACCTTGATGATGGAACAAGTAGTCCTTCTAAAAAGAAGGATCTTCTATTTTATTTGTTATAATAACCGATTTTAAAACGACAATCAATAAAAATGAAAGAAAGGCTGAAAATAGGTTCCATGTAGAAATTTTAAATTTGAGGCAAAACACCATCAACAATCATTTTTTCTACCTCATAATTAACTTTCTTAAAAAATATTTCTATTAAAATTAAGGACTTACAGTTTAACCAGAGTCCTTTAAATATAACGTTATACCAAAACTAATTATGACATCACAATGCATTAAATATGAGCCGCTGAAAATTGTCAAACTAACTTTTTTGTTGTTTGGTGGACCCACTCGGATAATCTTATGGGTTGTGGTTGTTTTTATGGTGGCTGAGTTTTATACAAGCTATAGGTTATACGTTAACCACGTGCTTCGGACGTAACAACCGAATGAGTCTAAAATTATTCTGAGTTAGTGTGTTAAAAATCTACTAATACACATTTCTAGCGAATAAAAAAATACAAGTTGTGTTTTGTAATTATTAGAGTATTAGATGTGGCAACGGCGCATGGTGTTACGCCTATTCTTCGATGGTCTCGTGGCCCATCGTCGTCCGCGCGCCCATATTAACGCAGACCCCGGAAATCCCACTTCCTCGCCGTTCCGTCGTTTTCGGGGCCTCGCAGAATATACCGTGCTTTAAATTGTATGAAACATACATGAGTTCTGCCCTCCCTGAATGTATACCAGGGCCTTAGTTTACAAATGAATACAGCTATTGAACTTACTTATAATATCAATGTGCTTTCTGTCCTTCTCCCGCACGACCGTTTGTCGTTTCCTTGTCTCTTTCGCCGTTGAGAAGCAAATATAAACCTCTTTCCACAGCCATACAGAATGGCCATATTAACTTGATAATTAGGTGTGTTATTGGACTTGCAGATGAGCCACTGAGTCTGCTGGATGGAATAAAAAGTGTTCAACCCCCCCTTTCGGTATGCCAGACATCGCGGTATAAAATTGAGAAGGGTGTTGGTGATGGCACATTCTAGCGTCGGTCGCGTCGCGTTTTCGACGTCTTCACCTGTGGACGTCGTCCCCGTGGGCGGAAGAGCACTAGGTTAGCCCCAGGTGGTTTTATGGTGTTCGTGAATTTTGTTTGATGTTTTCGAAGATGTTTTCCTACAACTCGTTTCGATAATCGGTGTGACGGATAACCACTAACGCGTAAGGTTAGAGTGAGGTTATTTATATATAGTTTCACGACGGGCAGAACAAAGACGCCATCTCGTATGCTGCCTAGGTACTCTTCATGAATATTGATTGTATGTGGTTGTCGATAGAGGCGCGGGAGCTGGTGGCCATATTGGACTTTGTTAACTTTGGCGGTGGTGGTTGTTGAAACTTGTTATACGAATAATTGTTTTCGGCATTTGAAATATTCGAGTTTATTTAGGGTGTTTTGTCTTTAGAATTTGCGACCCCACCTATCTTTTTATTTGAAGAGACAAAAAAAAATAAAAATTAAAGCTTTATGGTTTTGTTTAAATTATGAGAATTATGCGATCAAAACGAGAAAATATTAAATATTATTATGCAATATATTTTTTTTAATTCAATTCCTGCAATTATATTCCAGTTTCTACAGTCACTAGTAGCGATTTAGTGGGGTAATTGTTGCTGAAAGTTTTTAATATTCATTATATTTTTTTGTATATTTCCAAAATATTTCCTGCTAGTTTATTTCTATATTACCTTTATTTTGGTGGTAATTCAAATAAATGATTGTTCACATTTTCAAAGAAAAGCAAAATTTTATTTTTTTTGTTTTACAAAAAAAAAACTCTAGTTAATAAAAACGTATATGGGGTTGCGAATTATGAAGATACACCTGGCACTTAAAAACCGTGGTAATGTGTACTGTTTTCAACATTAACAGGCGATTTAAAGAATAATTAAGCTAAATAACTTGTTAATTGACAAAAAAGTTGGTGATATCCTACAAGTGCAAAGTTGTGGTAAATTCTCTGTAAAATAAAACTACATTTTAATTTATTTTATGCGTGGTATTATACACAATGAATATTAATAGATAGGATTAACCTTTTTAATGGAATGGTGTGACAGATCAACATATACTTTTGGCGTTCGCTAGAGCGGTACCACTAATGGACGTTACTAGTTTTTTAAGCTTCCCGTGAGGAATTTCGTACACAAAGGAAACTATCTTTACCAAATTGCTATTCCTGGTGCAAAAGCAAACTTTTAAAGGCGGACCAGTTAGCGTATCCATGCGAACCACGTAGAGCCGCGATTTCAAATCGCCGCCGACGGGTACGTGCCCGGTACCAAGGCCGGCCGCACCTCGAGGATGGCGCCCGTGGAACTGTAAAAAGAGTAAACCGTAATAAGGAACCAGAAACAACTATCAGAATTTTTACTCAAAAATAGTTATAATTTTTGCGGCGAACGGGAAGTATGACAAAAGAAAACTATAAAAAAATCTTCTATTCGGTGGAAGGAGGGTTTATAAAATGGAAAAAATTAAAACAGATAAAGAAATTGCCGGCAAATGATAGTTTTGGTTATTGAATAGTTGTGGTTAGTTTTTTTAAAGGACTTTTTGCGTTCGGCTCTTAACTTTGAGATCTCGCAAACGAACAAATTACATATTACCACTTCTGCAAATAATTCTCTCAAAATTTAAGATATTTTTGGTATTTCCAGAAATATACGAATCCCTAAAAATTTTGTTTTGCCATTTTACTTTTAGTAGTTTTTAGAAAACTAGAAATTCCTTTCGGAGTTTCGTGTTGCCGAAACCATCACCAACTTTAATTATTTACTTTACATTTTTATTTTATTAAATTCGAAATTATTAAAATAAATTTCATACTAAACTTTCAATTTTTAATCTGTTTCACATTTAAAAACTAATAAAAACAACCAACTGAGAAAACTTTATTACAAAAATAGTAGCAACTTTGAAGAAATGATTCATGAATGAAAATAAGTGAAAAAGATACGAACGAACTGAAAAAATCGGAGCGTACCATGGATAATGTTCATTTTCCTGAATATTTTGGATTTTTCTCAAACGGAAAGCTTTAATGACGTAACGTTGATAATAAAAATTACTATCGACGATATCCCCTTAAACTTCTCTGTTTTTCCCAACTTCTAAAAAATGGCACCTGCAATTTTTTATATCCTTTTGATTCTACTATAAAAAGAGCAAACTGCGGCTTTCCTTTAAACACCTATAATGCTTTCTGCAACTGCACAAGAAGCACTTAATTATTTTCCGACGCATATAATTTAAATAATGCGGCACCGTAGAGTACAATTTTATGCGAAGCTTATTTGTGTGAAATTACGTGTACACACACATTTCCAGTGCCGAACTCGCAATAAAAAGGAAATTGGATTCTTATCGCAAATCTAATTGCGATATTTGCAGACGGTTTTTATCTGATAACACAATGAGATATTAGTTTAATGGAACGACAAACTCAATGCAAAAAATATATTGCATCTTACCCGTTGTTTCTCTTTGCAGTATTCAGAGGTTTTTAGGACTCCGATTTAGGTTTTAATGTTTAAGGGTATTAGGAATTCTAGGAAAGGATTCTGAGTTTAAGAAAATATTAGACTCTAGTTAGACGACTAGGTACAGACGTAAAAAATGTTATCATTCTACTTTAAATAATAAACAACTATTTTACTTTAAAGAAGGTTGATAAAGCCATTTTAGAATTTCTTGAGTGTTAATAGTCGAGTGACTGAAGAAGTTTATCACAACAATACATTTTTACAAAACGGCACGAATACATTCACTCAAGTGAGACGTAGGGCCCTCGGTCGGTGTGTATTTGGGGTATTGAGAAGAAAAAAGAATATTTAAGTGATGTTAAGACATTAGAAATGTAACTAATGGGTTTCCCTGAAAGACAACAGTGTCATCGAACTTTGTTGGACAAAATTGCATAAACGAGATTAATGAAATACATAATAATAAAAAAAAAATGAAAACCACTATAATATGGGATATAAAGACATTTTATTTAATATATTAAAATAATAATAACGATAACTTCATCATCAGCATTGTCAAAAGCAAAAATATAATATGGGTTCTATAAGTAAAATTTTGTGATGAATTGAGGACAATGAAACCCCGTAAAACATTTCTAACCACGACAAGAGAATGTAATCATCACTTTGTTTCTAAATTTTAAAATTTACTGGTAAAAAAATAACACCATAAATAAACTTAAAATAACTTTTTTTTAACGGCATTATTAGTCGGCAATTTTGTCGTAATGTAGGGTACCTGGTATATTTTACCTTTTTTAAGATCTCAATAGTGAGAGTTTAATATGAAACATCTGGTTTTTAGTGTAGCTGGTCTTCCAAGAATAAAGAACAAGGAAATTTTAACAAATTTTGTAAGTTTTGGTTAATTTGGATTTTGAAAGTCTCGACATAATAATAAATTGAAAATTAACAAGTCAGATTTTGCGATATTGGTATTTAATTTATATTCAAATTACTCACTTTTGGTTATTACTTTGTTGTCTGTTGTCAAGCAGGTTGTTATAGTATGGAAATTGCTATATTTTTAAATGTTTGGGAGGCGGAATCATACAAAATGGCGTAGTTTGAGAAACTGGCAGGTTGGTTAGCTACATTGCATGACGGTTAGGTACAAGAAGAGTCATGCGACAGAAATAAGGGAGGACAAAATAAGAAAAAGTTTAAAATGAATGTTCGTCAAAAAATGCGTACTAAACGGGCTACAGCTTCTTGAAGATGCTTGTGCTACAATTTTGTGAGTCGGAATGCTTAGATAAGCGAAAATTGACGGTTGAGATTGAAAATTGAAAATTCTAGGAACAAATTATTGAATTTCAAAGATTTCTAACCAAATACTCGGTAAAATATACCGTTTGTCCGAGTTTGTTTTTTTTTAATTGTTCAAATTTCAAATTTTTGTGATACCAAAATTATG